TACATTAAGTAAAGATTTCAATCGTTTGCACCCCCATAGAAACACAAAGTGAAATATACTGTTTGAGTACTCATTATAGCATTAAGCCTCAGTGTACAGCACATTAAGGACAGAGATCCTACATGAGGAGTAAGTACACAGTGACTCCTGTTGTTGACTTTACAAATTGACACTCCTGTCTATGGCATCAGTAATCTCCCTATGCTCCAGTCATGAGTTTCCAAGGCTATGGAAGCCCCTTGAGTTCTCCGACTCTTATCTTGTTTAGACACGGTCATAGTCAAAGTGGAGGTTCTCTCCTCCCTTCAGAGAAAGGCACCTCCCTCTTTGAAGACCTGTTCTTTCCACTGGGATCTCACTCCCAGAGATCTTTTTGCCAGAGTGTCTTGGCTTTCCATGCCTGAAATACTCTCATGGGCTTTTCAGCCAGAAGCATGATTTTTTTTAACCAAAACTTGTGATACAATGATTGGAAGAATGAGGGGAAGGAAACTGAGTGAAGAGTGGAGAACCAGAGAGCCGAGTCTGGGGTGGACACTGGCCTGGCGGCTAAGGCACCACCTGGGACGCTCACATCCCAGATCAGGATGCTGGGTTTGTACTTGGCCCCACTCCTGACTCCAGCTTCCCAGTAATGCAGACCCCGGGAAGCAGCAGGACAAAGTAGTCAAAGGGGCTGAGTGCCCGCCACCCCTGCGGGAGACCTGGACTGACTTCCAAGCTCCCGGCTTCAGCCTGGCCCAGCACTGGCCCAGCACGCATGTGAGGAGTGAAGCAGCGGATGGAAGACAGCTCGCTCACTCGCTCGCTCTCTCGCGCTCTCTCCCCCTTCCTCCCTCCCTCTCTCTCTTCCTTTCAAATAAATAATAAATTTAAGTAAAGTTCAAAAGAAAACCTGCTTTTCACATATGTAATGTGTGATGGGTACCTAACTAGGTTAATTTTTAAGATTTTTGTGGATTTCCAGACACACAGACAGCATATTCTCCTTTGTAGCATTTGTAAGTATGCAGTTGCTGGGTCGGCCATCAGCCCTGTCGACTAAGACACGCCCTTTGGCCATGAAGTCCAGTCATTTAACGTGAGTAAACCTCCAGTTCGCAAATCCACCACATCTATCGCCCCTGTTTCCACCAGTGAATGCCCTAATGGTAGCCACACCCCTCGCCCCAGCCCTGCAGTCCATGGCACTGTCACTCATGTGATGCACCAGCTCCCATCCCCGCCCCCAGATACTCCCACTATAACATCTGCAACTTCAGGCTGACGGAGAAGAAACTCTGCTATATTCCCAGCCACTTCTCTGATCGCTGCTTCTACCTCTTTGACTAAAACTTGAGGGAGCAATTTTCCTTGCTAACATCTTAAGCAGTGGCTGTTAGTCTCTCCCAGAATCCTTGTATCTCAGGACCACAAAGTGCGGCTGTGACTGTGTCCTTCCCTTTGTCACTTCTACACCACCCTTCCCCACTGTGATGTAAAAAGCCCTACTCTGTAGGGTCTGTGCTGTTCTGTATGACCTCCTTCCCGCACTTCCTGCCGTCTTCCTGCCAACCATTGTGCCTTCTCACCCACCAAGCCCCAGGCTTCTCCTCTGTCCAAGGCACCGCCACTCAATCCCTGCCTGGCAACTCCTCGCCATGTCACCTCTGGCAATCTCCACATCATGGACTCTGTCACCCGTAACTGTTCCACCTCCGAAGTCACAAATTTAAGCATTTTATTCTAAAACCTCTTTTTAAAAAACTATTAAACTGGCCGGTGCCATGGCTCACTTGGCTAATCCTCCACCTGTGGCACCGGCACCCCGGGTTCTAGTCCCAGTTGGGACGCTGGATTCTGTTCCGGCTGCTCCTCTTCCAGTTCAGTTCTCTGCTGTGGCCTGGGAAGGCAGTGGAGGATGGCCCAGGTGCTTGGGCCCTGCACCCACATGGGAGACCAGGAGGAAGCACCTGGCTCCTGGCTTCGGATCGGCGCAGCGCGCCAGCCACAGTGCACCGGCCGTAGCAGCCATTTTGGGGGTGAATCAATGGAAGGAAGACCTTTCTCTCTGTCTCTCTCTCTGTCTAACTCTGCCTGGCAAAAAAAAAAAAAACACCACTATTAAACTAGGGGCTAGTGTTGTGGTGCAGCAGGTTAAGCTGCTGTCTGCAGTGCCAGCATCCCATGTGGATGTGGGTTCGAGTCCCAGCTGCTCCGTCTGCTCCATTTCTGACCTAGCTCCCTGACAATGTGCCTGGGAAAACAGTGGAGGCTGGCCCAAGAACTTGGGCCTCTGAGCCCATCTGGGAGACCCGGAAGAAGCTCCTAGCTCCTGGCTTCAGCCTGGTGCAGCCCTGGTCATTGCAGCATTTGGGGAGTGAACCAGCTGATGGACAATCTCTCTCTCTTTCTCTCTATCCCTCTCTCTCTTTCCCTCTCTCCCCCCATCACTTTGCCTTTCAAATAAATAAATCTTTAAAAGAGAGAGTGATGACTCCACAATGTGAAACATGGTTCTTAGAGAGGAGAGACTGGAAACACTAAGGTCAGTGGGAAAGCTATCCTAAGATCACATACGAGGGAATCCTTCCAAGAACTACGAGACTGTGGAGGACAAAAAGAATCAGGACAGGCTGGTGCTGAAACGAGTACGGGAAAGGTACGCTTAGACACGAGCAATCAGAGGGTGGAGCTCTCGAGAACAGTATCAAAGGAAAATCCTGTAACTGTGTCATCATTTCCTTACCACCTGTTTAGGGCGAAATGTCTCCTGCAAAAAAATATGGTGACATCCTCACACCCAGCACCCAAGAACAAGACCTTATTTGGAAGGAAACATGCTCGTCATGAGTTGAAGACAAGGTCGCTGGGGTGGGCCCTCCTCCAGCATGACTGGCGTCCTCACAAGAAAACAAAAACACAGAAAGGAGAATGACACAGAACGACACGGAGGGAAGCCAGTGGCCCTGTGAAGACAGAAGCGGAGCCCCGAGGGCTGCAACTGCAAGCTGAGGACGGCCAAAGGTGCCAGCAGCTACCAGAAGCCAGGCCGTGGCAAGAAGAGATTTTACCCCCCAGGCTTCAGACAGCACGGCCTGTCGACCCCTTTATGTGCGGCTTCTGGCCTCACACCCGGGAGACCAACCACTTCTGTTGTTTTCAGGCCCTTGTCCATTCAGCACCTCAGGTGAGAGGTGAGAACGTGAGAGCTGTGTCTACTGCAGACAACTCTAACCCGGGATCTCTTCCTCACACTGGGTAGGCACGCAAACAATGTGTGAAAGGAAGGAGCTTAGAAGGTACATTTCCGTGGCTCGCTGACCAACTAAGCTTTGCTGGAATGCTTCATGGGGCAACCATTCTCAACCGCTGCGCCAGGAGGCTGACACTGAACCACTGATGGTGAGTACAAGCTACTGCTCTTAGAGCAGCACTGAGGCCAAAGCTTAAAAATCACCTTCTTTGGTTTTTTTAAAGGAACACAGGGACTGGTGTCACAGGTAAAACTGCCACCTATAGTGCCAGCACCCCACATGGTGCTGGTTCTAGTCCCAGCTGCTCCACTTCCAATCCAGCTCCCTGGTAATGGCCTGTGAAAACAGTAGAAAATGGTGCAAGTCCTCAGGCCCCTGTACCCACGTGGGAGACCCTGAAGAAGCTCCTGGCTCCTGACTTCAGACCTGCCCAGCTCTGGCCATTGCAGCCATTTGGGGAGTGAACCGGCAGATGGAAGAATTCTCTGTCCCTTCCTCTCTCTCTCTCTCTCTCTCTGAAATACTGCCTTTCAAATAAATAAATAAATCTTTAAAAATAAAATAAAGGAATACAAAATACACTAAGCCGAGGAAACCCCTACAGTGAGGACAGCCACAGTCACTTGGTGCCGATGTGTTTCCTGGGGGTGCACAGGAGAGGCGGTCTCAGGAGCACTGCAGGACTGCACCCAGCCCTGGGCTCCCTCTGAGGGGTTTTGCAGGACAAACAGGTGAGAACCAGGGCTACAGAGAACGGAAGTCACGTGACAGCAATAACAAGGGCCCTCAGGTACCACGAACATTCTGCTCTCCGGGCCTCTGACCAATCCCCACCTCCTCGCTTACCTCACCTCCCCGGTTTACCACCACAGCTCCATGACCAGTCTCCCTGAGCGCACCCTTACCACCCGCCACCCCAAAATCCAAACACAGCAGCCAGAATGTGGGGTAACATCAACCCTTCCCGGCTCCAAGCCCTGTGCTGTCCCGACCTCCCCGCCGCTCCGACTGCATCGCTTGGCCCCTTCCGTCACTCGCACTGGCCTCCTCGCCGTTCCCTGGTCCTGAAGGGAAGGCCACTCCAGCTCGGGGCCTTTCTTCCTGCTGCTCGGCACCCCCAACAACAGATCCGAGGACTTACTCCTGCACTGTCTCTGCCATCTGCCCTAATCAGTCAGGGCTTCTCTGACCACCCCAGCGCCACACCAGCAAAACGAGCGTGGGATTACCACGAACCGGAAACCTGCATCCACATTTCAATCTCCTGATAAAAACTACTCGGTTCTAAATTTTTTCTTAACTTTAAAACTTTTCAAAATTATATAGTACGGTGTTACAATTCTGATGAGACATACACACCTGCAGCTGCTGAAGGTCATCTTCCTGAATGTTCTGGGACAAATTGTAGATCTAGAAAGCAAAATTCCACATTGATACGACTGGCCGATTTCTGACATCTGAATTAAGCCTAGGGCACTGAATAGAAGCTCTGCACAATGAAAGACGTGCACATGAGAACATACTAGAACCATTACTTTGAAAACGTAACAGTCACATTATCTGTATCTTGGAAAACTATGTACAAAAGGTTGAAATTGCAAAATTCTTCCTTAACAGTTTTTTTTTTAAGAGTTTTAGGAGCTCTGTTTCTTTTCTTTTAAAGATTTATTTGAAGGACAGAGTTACAGAGAGAGGTAGAGACAGAGAGAGAGAGGTCTTTCATCCGCTGGTTCACTCCCCAGATGGCCACAACAGCCGAAGCTGTGCTGATCCGAAGCCAGGAACGTCTTCTGGGTCTCCCATGTGGGTGCAGGGGCCCAAGGACTTGGGCCATCTTCCACTGCTTTCCCAGGCCATAGCAGAGAACTGGATCGGAAGAGGAGCAGCCGGGACTAGAACCGGCGCCCATATGGGATGCCGGCACTTCAGGCCAGGGATTTAACCCGCTGTGCCACAGCGCCGGCCCCTCTTCCTTAACAGTTTAAAATATGGTTTTCTGGGGCTGACCCGGCAGCCTAGTGGGTTAAATGGCTGCCTGCAATGTAGCAGAGCACCAGAGTGCAGGCTGCTCCATTTCAGATCCAGCTTCCTACTGAAGGCAATGGAGGATGGCCCAAGTACTTGGACCCCTGCCACCCACATGGGAGACAGGATGGAGTTTCAGGCTCCTGGCTTCAGCAGGGCCCAGCCCCAGCCACTGCAGCCATGTGGGGAGTAAACCAGAAGATAGAAGCGTGCGCGCATACGCGTGCTCTCTCTCTCTCTCTCTCTCTCTCTCTCTCCCCCCCTTTGCCCATCTCTCCCTTTCTCTCTGTAATTCTGCCTTTCAAATAAATCTTAAAAAACAGAATAAAGAAAATATCACATTCCTAAGTTTTCTAAGTAGTTTTCCAAATCTACACTTCCATGTGATTTATTTCTATTTTTACTTTTCACACATTTCTTGGAGCATTTTATATATAATTACGATCAAAGTGGAAAGACAGTTCAGCTCCTTCTGGAGCTTCTAAGAGCGTAACTTCCTCCTGAAGTCTAGAAAGAGCGTTCACATTTGACCCCAGGGCTCGTGAACAGAACAGTAGCTGAAACTCGGCATCTGGCTTTGGCTTATTCCCCTCGCAAACACTTTTCCAAGTCACGTAACTTTACCTGGACAGAACTAGTCATGGTACTCAGAGCAAAGATGGTGGCACAGTCTTTCACAGTCGACTGGCTGTCAAATGCCCCCTGGGTATCCATCAGAACAACGGCAACCTGAAACACAGGAAAATACAAGCAGAAGACATTACTGTGAGAAGGGGGAAATGTGAGGAGAAATCTACACGTACAGGTAACGTCTGTAGGAGCCTTAAGCTCCTGCTTGTGGGTTCTATCAGAAAAGGCTGTGACCAGAGCACCTTGCAGCCGACACCTGCTCAGACCTGCTGAGATGTGCCGGAGGTGCACGGAGCACTGTGGGAGTGGGGAAACCATCCCAGCAATCCAGACAGCCACTCGCTGCCAACGGTGAGCTCACTACCCAGCCAGTCACCTACATGCCTTTTGTCATTCAAAAGCAAGTGGCACAGCGCAGGCATCCCATATGGGTTCTGGTTCGAGACCCGGCTGCTCCGCTTCCTGTCCAGCTCTCTGCTATGGCCTGGGAAAGCAGTAGAAGATGGCTCAAGTCCTTGGGCCCCTGCACCCACGTGGGAGACCCAGAAAAAGCTCCTGGCTCCTGGCTTCGGATGGGCACAGCTCAGGCCATTGCGGCCATCTGAGGAGTGAACCAACAGATGGAAGACCTCTCTCTCTCCCTTCCTCTCCTCTCTCTGTGTAACTCTGACTTTCAAATAAATACATAAATCTTTAAAAAAAAAAAAAAAAAGCAAGTTCTGAGTACTAATTTGACTTAGTTTACATTTATAGGCTGGGATTTGGGAGAGGGGGACAACTGTAAGGCTGCATTCACTTCTCCGATTTCTGGTGTTTTCTGCTTGCTTGATAAAATTATTTCAACTTCAACAAAAGATATAGCAGGACACAACAAAGATGCCAAATGAAAGCAAGGAGACTCCAGGCTGTCACCGCCCTACACCGAACACAGCAGGGCTTTGTCAAACTTCAGGGTGCCCAAACAGCTGATGACTCTATCCATTCCCACTCTAAAAACAATGTACGCAAAATGTTAAATAAGGTGCACACTTATACAACTTGTTATCCTTATACAACTTGCTATGATCTTCAGTCATATAATTTAAAAAATAAGTTTCAAATTCGTGTATAAAGTACCCAGTTCCAAGACGAGACAGGGTTAATACAGTCACAAAGAGAAGTAAATTCATCAGTGAGTGCCTGATTCTTTTTTAACACCTGTATTACTGCAAAAGCCAGCAAGGAAGCTTTCTGTGAAATTCTGCTGAGCCATAGTCAAAGCACTTCAGAGTCAAAGCATTCTGTTATGGTAACAAACATAAATGAAAATATTACAAGGTATTCTTATTCTTAGAAACTGTAACATAACTTTCTATGGTTTATATTCAGGTCTCATTCATCACATTATTTATTTTTATTTTCTTTTTTTTTTATAAGATTTATTTTTTATTTGAAAGAATTACACAGAGAGGAAAGGCAGGGAGAGAGATAGAGAGGTCTTCCATCCACTGGTTTACTCCCCAAATGGCCTCAACAGCCGGAGCCAGGCCGATCCGAAGCCAAGAGCCAGGGAAATTCTTCCGGATCTCCCACGTGGGTGCAGGGGCCCAAGGACTTGGGCCATCTTCTACTGCTTTTCCAGGCCATAGTAGAGAGCTGGATGGGAAGAGGAGCAGCCAGGACTTGAACTGGCACCCATATGGGATGGCGGCACTGCAGGCGGCGGCTTTACCTGCTGTGCCACAGCACCAGCCCCTTTTTTTTTTTCATATCCTAACCCAATATTGTGGTAGAAGGAATACGATAAAAATTCAAGCAAAAGACAGTCTTATGCAGAAAAGAAACCATTTTGAAACCAAATAAAGTTTCTAGCCTGAATACATTGAAAACTAATGAGAGACATAGAAAACTTTATCCTGTCTGTATTTTATCCACTGTGGTAAGGACACTAGTAAAAATGAGTAATCAAGACTAATCACAGGGGCCAGCACCATGGCACAGGTTAATCCTCCACCTGCAGCGCTGGCATCCCATATGGGTGCTGGTTCAAGTCCCGGATGCTCCTCTTCCAATCCAGCTCTCTGCTGTGGCCTGGGAAAGCAGGAGAAGATGGCCCAAGTGCTTGGGCCCCTGCACCCTCATGGGAGACTGGGAAAAAGCACCTGGCTCCTGGCTTCGGATCAACACTGTTGCGACCATTTGGGGAGTGAACCAATGGAAGGAGGACCTTTCTCTCTGTCTCTCCCTCTCTCTGTCTGTAACTCTATCTCTCAAATAAATAATAATCTTAAAAAAAAAAGAAAAGAAAAAGACATCGCAGATGGGACAAATGGATTTCCACATGCAAAGGAATGATGCTGGATCCCTACCTCATACCATATGCAAAAATTAACTCAAACTAGATCAAAGGCCTAAATGCAAGAGGTAAAGACATAAAACTTTTTTTCTTTTTAGATTTATTTGAGAGGCAGAGTTACAGAGAAAGAGAGACAGAAAGAGATCTTTCATCTACTGATGCACTCCCCAAATGGCCACACAGCAGTGGCTGGGCCAGGCCAAAGCCAAGATTAGAAGTGGTGGCTTAAGTCAATGGGCTGCAACTCTAGCACCCATTCTGCGAACTATTAAAGACTAGTTGTATGTTGAAAAAAAATTTTACATCTGAGTAACTTATCTTCTTTTTTCTTTTTTTTAAGGTTTACTTTTTATTACTTGAAAGGCAGAGTTACAGAGAGAAAGAGACAGAGAGAGAGAGAGGTCTTCCATCCATTGGTTCACTCTCCAAATGACCGCAATGGCTGGAGCTGGGCTGATCCAAAGCCAGGAGCCAGGAGCTTCACCAGGTCTCCAATGGGGGTACAGGTGCCCAAGCACTTGGCCATCTTCCACTGCTTTCCAAGCCAGAAGTAGAGAGCTGGATCAGAAGAGGAGCAGCCAGGACACAAACCCACACCCATATAAGATGCCAGCACCACAAAGGCTTAACCTACTATGCACAGCACTGGCTCCCATAAGACCCTTAAAAGAAAACAGGTGTAGGGGCCAACATAGTAGCAGAGTGGGTTAAGACACTACCTGCAATGCCAGCATCCCAAATGGGCACTGGTTCAAGTCCAGGCTGCTCCACTTCCAAACCAATTCCATGCTAATGCACCTGGCAAGGCAGCAAAATATGGCTTACTTGCTTGGGCTCTGGCCACCCATATCAGAGACCCAGATGGAGGTCCAGGCTCCTAGCTTTGGTCTGGCCCAGCCCCAGCCACTGTGGTTGTTTGGGGAGTGAACCAGCAGATGGAAGATTCATTTTCTTTCTCTTTCTCTTTCTCTTTCTCTTTCTCTTTCTCTTTCTCTCTCTCCCCCCCCCCTTTCTCTCCTCCTCTCTGTAACTCTTTCAAATACATAAAGTAAATATTTTTAAAAAGAAAACATACATGCGTATCTTTGTCATTTTGGATTTTAGGCAAAGGTCATCTTAGATATGACACCTAAAACACAAACCAAAGAAAAATAGACAAACTGCATTTCACCAAAATTCAAAGCTTCCATAGTTGAAAGGACACTACCAAGAAAGCAAAAGGCAACCCACAAAATGGGAGAAAATATTATTTTCTGCAACAGCCTAGTATCCAGAATGTAAAAAGAAACTTTTTTTTTCTTTTTTTTTTTTCTTTTTTTGACAGGCAGAGTGGACAGTGAGAGAGAGAGAGACAGAGAGAAAGGTCTTCCTTTGCCGTTGGTTCACCCTCCAATGGTTGCCGCAGCCAGCGCGCTGCAGCCAGCACGCTGCACTGATCCGATGGCAGGAGCCAGGTACTTATCCTGGTCTCCCATTGGGTGCAGGGCCCAAGCACTTGGGCCATCCTCCACTGCACTCCCTGGCCACAGCAGAGAGCTGGTCTGGAAGAGGGGCAACCGAGACAGAATCCGGTGCCCCGACCGGGACTAGAACCCGGTGTGCCGGCGCCACAAGGTGGAGGATTAGCCTAGTGAACCGCGGCACCGGCAAGAACTTTTACAACTCAAAAATAAGGACAAATAACCCAACTAAAAAATAGATTTAAATGGGGTTGGCATTGTGGTGCAGCAGGTTAAGCCACCACCTGCAACATCAGCATCCAATACAAGCTCAAGTTCAAGTCCTGGCTGCTCCATTTCCAATCCAGCTCCCTTCTAAGGAGCCTGGAAAAAGCTGCAGAAAGTGGCCCAAGTATTTGGGCCCCTGACACCCATATAGGAGACCCGAGTTCGGGGCATTGCAGCCATTTGGGGAGTGAACCAGTGGATGGAAGAGTTCTCTCTCTGTCTCTGTCTCTCTCTCTCTCTGTCTCTCTAACTCTGACTTTAAAATAAATAAATTTTTATATATAAATAGATTTAATTTGAATCATTTCTCCTGAGAAGACAGATAAATGAAAAAATGCTCAACACCATTAATCATTAGGGAACTTATTATCAAATGCAAATCAAAACCACATGAAACATCATTTCATCCCTACGAGGCTGGGTGTGATCAAAAAGACAAACAGTATCAGGCATTGGCAAGGATGTGGGGACTGGAGCCTTGTATAGTGCTGGTGAAAACGCAGATTGGTATAGCTGATTGAGAAGGTATCTGACAGATTTTGTAAAACAGATTTATTTACTTGGGGCTGGCACTGCAGTGTAGCAGGTAGAGCCTCTGCCTGTAGCACCAGTATCCCTTGCGGGTGCTAGTTAGAGTCCCGGCTGCTCTGCTTCTGGTCCAGTTCCCTGCTAATGAGCCTGAGAAAGTAGCAAAGATGGGAAACTGGAAGAAACTCCTGGCTTCAGATCAGCCCAGCTTCAGCCATTGCAGCCACTTGGGAGATTTTATCTGAAAGGCAGATTAACAGAGAGGGAGAGAGGGAGAGAGGGAGAGAGGGAGAGAGCGAGAGAGCGAGAGAGGGAGGGAGAGAGGTCTTCTATCTGCTGACTACTCCCCAAATGGCCACATTGGCTGTAGCTGGGCCAATCCGAAGCCAGGAGCCAGGAGCTTCTTCTGGGTCTCCCACACAGGTGCAGGGGCCCAAGGACTTGAACCATCTTCTACTGCTTTCCCAGGCCATAGCAAAGACCTGGATTGGAAGTGGAGCAGCCGGTACTCGAACCAGTGCCCATATGGGATGCCGGCACTGCAGGTGGCAGCTTCACCAGCTACTCCACAGTGCCGTCCTGATCTGGCAGTTTTTTGAAAGGTTAGCCATGAAGTTGCATTGACCCAGAAACTCCACTCCTAAGTACATACCCAAGAGAACTGAGAGCATATGCATACACAAAAATTGCTCATGGATATGTATGGGATCTTATTCAGAATCTCCAAAATCCGAAAACAATCCAAACATTTACCAACTGATGGATAGCAAAGGTGAACTTATACAGTAGAACATTATTCACCCATAATAGAGAGGTAAGTTCTGATGCAGGCTGTGTCATAGATGGGCCACAGGACCCTGGCTGAGTGGAGCAGGAGACACAAAAGATCATGTACTATGGCCGGCGCCACGGCTCACTGGGCTAATCCTCCACCTGCGGCGCCGGCACACCGGGTTCTAATACCGGTTGGGGCGTCGGATTCTGTCCCGGTTGCCCCTCTTCCAGTCCAGCTCTCTGCTGTGGCCTGGGAGGGCAGTGGAGGATGGCCCAAGTGCTTGGGCCCTGCACCCGCATGGGAGACCAGGAGGAAGCACCTGGCTCCTGGCACAGTGGCCATTTGGGGGGTGAACCAACAGAAAAAGGAAGACATTTCTCTCTGTCTCTGTCTGTCTGTCTCTGTCTCTGTCTCTGTCTCTCTCATTGTCCAACTCTGCCTGCCAAAAAAAAAAAAAAAAAAAGATCATGTACTACATGATTCCCTGTAGGCAGTGTCTAGACTAGACTAGGCACCCTGATGCGTGGCAAAAGAAAACAGGTTCCCAGTCATAGGACGCTGGGAGAAGGGAGCAACAGCAGTGACTGCAATCGGATGGCGGTGACACTTGCACAGTGTTAGGAGTACGCTCAAGATCGCTGGATTGTAAATTTCTAAATTCTGCAATATGTGAATTGTACCTCAATTTTTTAAAGCTAATCATGGCATGTAATTGCTATGTAGGAAAATGAGGCTAAGTAGATGAACCAAGGGAAATACTAAGCAAAGTCCTACAGGAGAGGAGTCATGTGCAAGCTTAGATACAGTGCTGGACAGCGGGGGAAACGGTATTCTTGGCGACAGAGCTGAACAGCAAACCACCATAGCCATTATCAAGAAAGGCTAGAAACAGGCATCCTCAGAAAAGAGGAAACGGGCACTCACACACCCAGCAACTCCACTTCTAAGTGGTTTTCCAATGATCTCAACCGGAACCCACAGTATGACATACATACTGTGAGGGTACTTCAAAAAGTTTGTGGAAAAATGGAGTTACAGCATGCTTAAGGGACCAATGCTGTGGCGTAGCGGGTAAAGCTGCCACCTACAGTGTCAGCATCCTATATGGGCGCTGGTTCAAGTCCCAGCTGCTCCACTTCCAATCAGCTCTCTGCTATGGGCTGGGAAAGCAGTAGAAGATGGCCCAAGTCCTTGGGCCCCTGTACCCCTGTGGGAGACCTGGAAGAAGCTCCTGGCTCCTGGCTTCAGATCGGCGCAGCTCAGCCACTGCTGCCATCTGGGGAGTGAACCAGCAGATGGAAGACCTCTCTCTCTCTCTCTCTCTCTGTATCCTTACAAATAAATAATAAATAAATAAATCTAAATTTAAAGAAAAACAAACAAACATGTTTAACAAGGGTGGGCATTGTGGCTTAGTGGGTAAAGCCACCACCTGCCACACTGGCATGCCATATGTGCACTAGTTCGAGACCTAGCTGCTCCACTTCCAACCCAGCTCTCTGCTACTGCACCTGGGAAAGCAGCGGAAGATGGCCCAAGTGCCTGGGCCCCTGCACCCACATCAGAGGAAGTAGGGAAGAATAGCACGCATGACAGCCACTCTTCATTAGAGGACTTCCAGGGCCACAGGACCTTTTAAACTATATCCATGCATTATTTTTAAACCCTGCCCTTGAAACAATTAAAAAAAAAATCTGTGAGCTAGAGCTGTGGCACAGCAGGTTAAGCCACTGTCTGCAGTGCCAGAATCCCAGATGTACAAAGAAGTCTCGGCTGCTCCACTTCCAATCCAGCTCCCTGCTAATGTGCCCAGGAAAGCAGCAGAGGATGGCCCAAGTGCTTGAGCCCCTGCATCCATGTGGGAGACCCAGATGAAGTTCCTGGCTGCTGACTTTGACCTGGTCCAGCCCTGGCCATTGTGGCCATTTGAGCTACAAACCAGTGAATGGAAGATCTCTCTGTCTCTCCCTCTCTCTCTCTGAAATTCTGACTTTGAAACAAATAGAAAATTTGGGGAGCTGGCACAGTGGCACAGGGTTCTAGCCACAGCCTGCAATGCTGACACCCCACATGGGGGCCGGTTTGAGTCCCAGCTTCTCCACTTCCGATCCAGATCCCTGCTAATGCACCTGGGAAAGCAGAAGATGGCTCAAGTCCTTGGGCCCCCATACCCACATGGAGTTCTAGGTTCCTGGCTTCAGCCAGGCCCAGCTGCAGCCATTGTGGTCATTTGGGGTGTGAACTAAGGGATGGAAGAGCTCCTCTCTGTCTCTCCCTTTCTCTCTGTAACACTGCCTTTATATAAATATATAAATAAATAAATCTTTTTTTTTTTATTTTAATTAGGTTCACCCAATACACATTTAAGGTCCGATTCTGCTGTTGATCTGAAAATTCTTACCTTCTTCCCACCTGGCTTCTCCACAGTGAAAACTTCACTCCAGATCTGAATCCCCGTGGTTTCAGGGTCAGAGCCCCCTCGCCATGAAAAGCCTGTCAGTGGTTCTTCTGGGTCACCCAACCAATTTGAATGGCCGCCTTCTTTCTGCAGGAGAAATAAGAAACTCCTATTGAACTTAAGTAATTGTGGACACCCAGGATAATCCATGAGCTTATTTTGCTTTTTTGGGGGGATATAAAGTTTCTGATTTGCAATGAAATTAATTCTACCTTACCTGAGAATATAAGTATCGTAGCATGAAGTCCAGAATGAAGGACTTGCCCTTTCGGAAGGCGCCAGCCACTGACACCACCACCACATCGAGATCTCGGATGTGGTCCTGCAAGAGGATGCTGGCCAAGGCTTTTTCTTCTAGCTCAAAGGAATGCTGCTCTTTGTGAACCGAAACAACCTGCACTGGTCCAGGCTTTCCACTCTCCATGGCATCACCTATGTTAACATAGAGGGAAAATATTAAGTATTTATTTATTCATTTATTTGAAAGGCAGAGTGACAGAGAGGCAGAGAGATCCTTCCACGTGCTGGCTGACTCCCTAAATGGTCCCAACAGCCAGGTCTAGGACAGGCTGAAGCCAGGAACCAGGAACTCCATCCTCATCTCCCACATAGGTGGCAGAGGCCCAAGTACGTGGGCCATCTTCCACTGCCTTCCCAGGCACATTAGCAGGGAGCTGGATTGGAAACAGGGTAGCTGCAACTCAAAACAGCCCTCTAATAAGGGACACACATGTCGCAAGCTGCAGCTTAACCTGCTGCATCAGAATGCCATGTGCATGTGGGGAGAGCAAAAACTTCCTCAAGAGAGCAAAAAAGCACTAACTATAAAAGGGAGGGAAAATGACAAATAAGACTTCATTAAAATTAAAAAATCTATTCATTAAAAGATACCACAGTAAAAATGCAAACCACAGGTTAGGAGAAAAGACTGACAGTATATATTTCCAAAAAACTCAAAGCCAGAATCAATTTGGATATCCATTAAGAAAAAGATGAGCCCTCCAATGTTTAATGCACAAAAGAACTATGAATAGACACTTCACTAAAACAGCCCAACAAACGGTCAATAATCATATAAAAAAGCGTATCTGTGTCATTTATCAGGGAAATGTAAGTGAAAACCACAATGAGACACCAGTAGCTGCCCATCAGAATGTCTAAAATATAAGAGTGACACTGGGGGAAGATGTGCAGACACGAGAATCTCAAACATTCTGATACGAGCACACAACATGGCAGCCATTTGGAAAACTTGGGTGATAAACACACCTGTGACCCGGCAATCCTACTCCTGGGCATGTACCTAAGAGAACTGAATGCAGATGTGCACCAAAAGACACGCACACCACAATGCGCACATCAGCTTTATTCAAAACAGCCCTAAAGTAGAAACATTCTTTCACCAGGAGAAAGGGTACCTGCCAAGCCTTCCACATGGGCACGTTCTTGAACCCTCAGAGCAGCCCTAGGCAGTAAATAAGGTGCGGTAGCCAGAGAAGCTGCTACCTGCGATGCCGGCATACCATATGGGCGCCAGTCCGTGTCCCGGCTGCTCTGTGTCCCATCCAGCTCCCTGCAAAAGGCCTGGGGAAAGCAATGGAAGAGAGCCCAAGTGCTTGGGCCCCTTCCACCCACGTGGGAGACCCAGATGAAGCTTCCTGGCTCCTGGCTTCCGCCTGGTCCAGCCCTGGCTATTATGGCCACTTGGGTAACAAACGGGCAGATGGAAGAGTTCACTCTATCTCTGTAACTCTGCCTTTCAAATAAGTAAATAAATCTTAAAAAAAAGAAAAAAAAGGTAAGGAAAACAGGGCCAGCATTGAGGCACAGTGGGTTAAAAAGCCACCTCCTGCAACGCCAGCATCCCATATCATAGGGCTGGATCAAGTCCCAGGTACTCCTCTTCCAATCCAACATCCTGCTCATGCGCCTGGGAAAGTAGCAGCTGATCACCCAAGTACTTGGGTCACTGCCTCTCCTGTGGGAGACCCAGATGGAGTTCGTGACTCCTGGCTTCAGCCTGGCCCACCCTGGCTGTTGCAGGCTTAACGCCCTGCACCACATCGTGGACTCTGTTGCAATTACTCAGTAATTCAATCAGCACTTTAGGAACAATTAATTCTAGAGCCCAAAGGTAACTAGTACTTCCGTACCAGAATTAAAGGCACAAAAATACTAATTCTTCAAATTTAGGGCCACGTAGTAGCTGTGGATTTGTGAAAAGTTTACCAAAAAAACCCCGATGGGTTAGGGAACAAGGCAAAGCACCCACCATGTCCCGAAACATGTATGCCACTGGGATCAGCAGGGATGTTTTCAGGTAGATGGTTAAAAGGACATTTTTTTAAATGTCTTTTTTTAAAAGATTTACTTATTTTATTTGAAAAGTAGAGTTAGAGGAGAGGAAGAGGCAGATACAGAGATCATCCATCCGCTAGTTCACTCCCCAAACGGCCACAACAGGCAGGGATGGCTCTAAGGGAAGCCAGGAGCCTGGAATTCCATCTGGGTCTCCCATGTGGGTGCAAGGGCCCGAGCACTTGGGCCATCTTCCACTGCTTTCCCAGGTGCGTTAATAGGGAGCTGGATTCTAAGTGGAGGGCCAGGACTCAAACCAGCACTCATATGAGATGCCAGCATTTCAATCGGCTTAAGCAATGCCACAATGGCCCCAACACTTTTTAAATTTTAATTATGTGTATTATTGCATTCTAGAAAACACCATGCCAATGTTGTAATGGATTATTACTTTAAAAAGAGGCTAAATGTAATAAGTACATTAATGGGGACAACCCTGGCATCCCATGACAGCCAATTCGAGTGCCAGTCGCTCTACTCTTTCCCTTCTGCTGTAGAACACACGTCCAACCCAATCATATGGCTCGGGTTTGCCCATGTGACTAAGTTTTGACCAATGGGAAGTGAAAGAAATGACACAGGCAACTTCCAGGCCCCCTACTTTTCTTCTTCCTGCTGGCTGGCGGTAGAAGTGGGAGTGAGTCACCCCGGGCCAGCCCTAGAACCCTGGAGCAACAAGAGAGGCAGGGGCTAGGACTCTGTGCAGCAGAACTGCCACTGGTTCACTTTTACAAGAAAGAAAAATGTCTACTTTGTTTAAATTGCTCATTTGATGCCTCTTTCATTCACAGCCAAACCTAGCAACCAGCACAGCAGCAGTCTCCCAGGTCTCCACCATTAAGTCCACCTTCTGTCTCCACGTATTTCACTGAGGCCCACCGAGCAGTGCGCATGCAATGATGAACACCAGGCCCACGGTGAGACGCTGCAAAATGAATGCTCTCTGCCGTATTCTAGCTGGGGGCTCCGGCCCAAGGAAGCAGGCGCGTGATCAGGCCCACGAGCGTGGAAGAGGAGGATACAAGGGCTACAGGGCAGGTGGAATAATCCAGTGACAAAAAGCTACAGGGTTGTGCACAGTGAATTCCACTCCAAGAGCAGCTGAAGGCCACCAAAGACAGCTGAAAAGAAACAAGATGAGGGCATAACTTCTCTCTTCTTCCCTTTCCGCCTGCCGCTCGGCGCTCAGGAATACAGGAGGAAACTGGATGGGCTGAGTGATCCTGAATGTCTCTTCACACCAGTGATATGAGCACAGCTATCAGTGTCCACAGGATTTTTAAAAAGTCTTGTTCACTAACAGTGACCTTTGGGTTTGAGCTTATGTATGGAAAAAATTTTCTAAACTGTGTGCATTTCCAATAACTTGATCCAAACACAGAGCTGCTCACTTTCCATCACCCCATGTTTATCTTCTGCTTCCTAAAGACCACAGAACTCTTTCACTGATTTTCCAAGTAAAAAGTTCATTTCCACACATTTTCCAGATGCCACTTAAAGGTCTCTTGCTAATTTATCGACACACTTCGGACTCCCCAGTCTCTTAGATCCCCTCATTAAAACGTTAGAGCCAGAGGCCAGTATCGTGGCATGGTGGGTTAAGCCACCACTTGCAATGCTGGAATCTATATCAGAGTGCCAGATCAAGTCTCCACCACTCCACTTCCAATCCATCTTCCTGCTAATGCACAGTGGGAGATGGCTCAAGCGCTTGGGCCCCTGACACCATGTAAGAGACCAGGAGGGAATTCCTGGTGTCAGCCTGTCCAGACCTGTCTGTTACAGCCATTGGGAGAGTAAATCAATAAATAGAAAATCTCTCTCTATCTCTCTCTTTCTCCCCTCTCTGCACCAGACATGTGTGTGTGAATGTGGGTATGTGTGTGTCACTCTACCTATCAAATAAATAAACACATCAATCTTCAAAACAAACCTTAGGGCCAGGGCCAGCATGGTGGCCCAGCATATTAAGCCACCATTTGGTTCACCCCATTCAGTTTCCTTCTACTGTATCCTGGGAGGCAGCAGATGATGGCTTAAGTGCTTGGCCCCTGCCCCAGCCATGGCAGACCTGGGCGGAGTTCCAGGCTCCAGGCTTCGGCCTGGCTCAGCCCTGGTTGTTGCAGGCACTTGGGGAATAAACCAGCAGATGGAAGATTTCTCTCTCTGCCTTTCAAGTAAATGCACATAAATAAACTATTAAAAAATAAAACACAGCTTAGAGCCCTCTCCCTTGCTGGTAGCAGCCTTGCTCAAGGTCGTCCACTTGGATGTCGTCAGCCACGTCACCATTCCCAAGTGCTACTACTGTCACCTCATCCCTAAACTCTTCCGCTCCGTGACAGTACATAAATACATCATGTCGGCAACTATGGGAAAGGCTTCCAAAGACAGTTGATGGATTCTTTGTAGATGACGCAAAGATAAAATTTCCATTCTCTTAGATCAAAGCCTTTCATTCACCATTCTCCCACTATCTGTTTCCCCTAATTCCCCACCCTCCTCATCCTCACAGGAAAATGTATTCTCACTGGCCTTTCTACTGGGAGAAAAGCTGGATTCAGGTCCTTCCAGTCCTGATTCGGAAATGTCAACATACAAACTACCCAGCCACTCCTGCCCTCTATCCACAACGCCCCTTCCCCTGGACTGCAGGCGCCCACTCTCTCAGCCACCTTCCAACGCTCTCCCTCGGATGAAGCCCTCCCTTTGTGCTGGCTGCCCTTCCCGGTCCTCTCAGGCCTACAATTTACATGAGACATTAAAAAGAAAAAACAAAAACAGAAAACTCTGGCATCAAAACAAGGCGAGGCCTGAATTCTTCCTCTGAGGACAGGAGCCTCTGTCTCTTTGTCCAATGCTACATCCCCCATGCTACCAGCACACTGTTCACACACAGTAGGCAATCAATCGAGAGATAAACTAAGTCAACTGCTTAGTCACAGTGTGACTATGAAAAAAAATGGCTATCTGTTTTTAAACATTTATTTGAAAGAAAGAGGGATATCGGCCATCTGCTTGTTCACTCCCCAACTGCAGGCAAAGATCCAGTCAGTGCCGGTCTCCCACGAGAG